GGGGGGGTTGGTGGAGGAATCATAATACAGTGCACTTCATCAATAAGGTATGCCCAGCTAAGTTAAATTCAATTACTCAAGAAACACAATCGGAGAAAGAAAAAAAAAGACATGTTTAATTCTGTATAGAGCAATTCCACTCGCTGTAGAGACTTCCATTCAAATACCATCGATTCAAGTCAATGCCACAATTCTGAAACATATTCAAATTATTAATTTTCACTTCACTGATAATCAACTACATACTAACATTGTACAAATCATTACAAAGCGTAACTTACAATTCTAATCTCTCATATACAGAGAGAGAGAGAGAGAGAGCGAGCAAATACTCAACAAGAATCACGGCAAGAAGTAACCACATTATAAATAACCGAATAATCAGTAATCAGATGGGCAGCAACAAAAGATATTGATTTAACAAGTGATAACAAGAAAGCTAAAGTATTTACCAGAAATTCATATGACAGAGAAAATTTAAAGACACATGAAGAAAAAGAAGTAGTGAACATACCGCGAACAAGAATTTACAGGAGATTTGATAGTTGACCAAGAAGAAAAGCTTTCGGGTGCGGATGGGTTCCGACAGTGTTGGAATGGATGCGTTGGTGGGGTTAGGGTTGCGGAGTGATAAAAGAAAGCCTCGTCAAAATTTTGAACATTGGAGAAGAGAGAAAAGAGGAGAGAGAGAAGATGGAAAAGCGGGTTTGATAAAGACAGACAGAGGGCGTAATATGAAGAGACGAGCAATGGTATTGTTGGTATTTAATCCGACCCTTGTACTTATTACTGGTACTCTTATTATTTATTTATCTTTTTTCTCTATTAAAACGATGAATTGAGATTTAAAAAAGCTATGCAAAAGTATAAAATGAAGACGGAGTTTCCCAAAATTAAGGCAAGACGAGGATGAGTTTGGATTGATAGTATTTCAGCCATAATATTCGTTCAAAACCACATTTAGCTCATTATTGCAATTGTTATCGTTTTTAGAAATATACGGTAATTTAAAATATTTGAAATCACAGAGGCGAACTCATTATTGCAAATCCAAACTCAACTTGAGCCGAACTCATTCATAAACAGCGAATTCGGAAATGTTATTTTTGTGACTTACCCTTTATACATAAGCTGTGTTAACAAAGTAGTGCTAGTTTAATACATAAGTTGCAATTTGTTTACCTCCACAAGACAAGTAGTGCTAGTATCTATATATATATTTGGTAATTATTTCCCTTTATATTTGTAAGAGCTACAAACAAAGTAGACTGAAACAAACTCACAATGTCCTCCCAGACTCGTTAGCAGGACCAATAAATCTCCCTAATTAAACATATTTAGTTATTTACAGTAAAAGGAGGGAAAGAAGATTAGAAACAAAAGAAATACTGTAAAATTTAAAAAAGTTGGAAGAAGATTAACAGCAGCACATGATAGAGATAGAGGCTTGATCTAGAATCCTTTCTTTGGTTTGGTAATATTATTATCCACTTGAGATGATTGCACATGCCTTTGTCTTAGTCTTTGTGCTCCTAGTGCTTCTTCCCACTTTTCTTCACCCCCAGCATCATCCTCATATTCTTCTTCTTCTTCTTCTTCTTCTTCTTCTTCTTCTACCACCCACTCTTCCGTCACCAATTTCTGCTGATAGTATCGGAAGGCCACCACCAATATAAACGCTGCAAAACAACCCCCAATGACTTTGAATATTCTATTGTTTGAAATGACTATAAAAAAAAATAGTTTGGGTTTGTTTGTTTGTTTTTGTTTACCAGCCCATATTCGAGCCACGACGGAAGACAGGTTCCAAACCAGTAGAAAGATGGCAACGGTCAAGGCCTTCTTGTGAGTGCATGATTCCCAAGCATCCCGAAACCGTCGAATCCAAAATTTAGCTTCACATAAATAAATTCCGGTGTACGTTAGGTCATCTCTCATTGTTGTTATATATGAAGAAGAATTGAAATGTGATTCTACATTTCTACTGAAGAATTTCATGATGCTCTCTTATTTTGTTATGAATCATGATGGTATTGGATTCTACTAAGAGGAATTAACCCATTGGGCTAGAACACATGTGGGCCCATAAGGATTGAGGCCTCTCCAACACCCCCAACTCCCAATTCAATTTTGAATGAACCCAAAACGAAAGGCCATTGAGCCTAGCCCTAGTCAGAGACTCAGAGCGTATGAAAGTGGACCCTATTAACTATTATTTTGTTGTGGGCCCTAACCACTATTATTAAGCAGTATAATTAATTGCCCGGGAGAAAAGGATGCCTAACCAGTTTGCTTATATAATATGTGGGACCAAAAACTTTCTTGTAGCATGCTACGAAAGTCTCTATCCCATCATAGAGCCGTTACATGATGAGCTAGAGCCTAGAGCCTAGAGCCTAGTGGTAAGTAAACAAGGTTGGGTGAGTTTTGGTTTTGAAAATGCGTACTTGAAATTTATTGGGCCGACAGAAATTATGTGTGAGCAGAGCAAATATGGGTGGACCGTGGAGTGGAGGAGATTAAAAATGAAAGGAAATCGCTTTGCCGGCGTCAAAATTGTGGAAGAATTGAATTGAATGACATAAATGATCCCATCCCATGCATTGAGTTATTGGAGGAATGATTTACCGTAAACCGTTAACTGGGCTGAGTACAAAGAGCAGACTTTTGGCAGGGTGAAAACTCCGAAAAAGCCTGTCAATTAGCACAACCAAGCCAGCGTCAGTGAAAAAGTTAAAACAACATCTCCATCTCCTCACTCAGACTTGGAGTTGCAGAGAATTTGACAGTTGTCTCTCTCTGCTGCTTTGGCTGCTTCCCAACTTCTAATCAAATTAAAATTAAATAAATAAAAGCAGCAGACAGATACTGTTTCACTCTTCTTTATTTTACTCTTCTCTCTCAGTTTTCCACTAATCAAATTGGTTTTACATGCTAATAATAATAATAATCCGTTCTTTTTCTTTTAAAAAGAAATAAGAAGCAGCAAAAGACTCTGATTATGAATGTGAGTGAACTTACCCACTTTGGTCATCGTCCAAATGGTTATGGAGCTGCCACACCTGGCCAGAACAAAGAGCAGCACTGCCAACTGCAAACGTTATCACAATTTAATTAGCCTATTATCTTTCCTTCCTCACTGCAACATTGCTAAAAAGAAATAAACATAAAGGAAAGTTACCTTAATTGTGGTAGCAGGATCCCCAGAAAATAAAGCTTTCATCTTTAGAAGGAGCTCATTCAAGTAAGGGAGAACCAGTTTTAGCAACCACATTGCTTCTTCTTCGCCCACCACATAGTTTGCATTGTCTACTTCAACAGCTCCCCTGCCATTCAATTTCCAAAATAAATTTTAAAAAAGCATGTTGATAAGAGAGAGATTCGGTAACATACTATAGCACTAATATGTTGATAAAAGTTAAAGAAGCTTTACCTGCAGATAATGGACTTAAAGAGGAAGATGGCAGCTAGATAAAGAAGCCCCAGATAGGATATGACAGAAATAAAGCTGCAGGAGACAAAGGTCAAACAGATTTAGATTAATGCTATGCTTCCAAGGAAATGCACAATTCAAGGTGTTGGTTGATCTCTTTTATTGACAACTTTCCTGACCTGATATTAAGATCCTTGGTGTAGGAGGATGATAGTATCACAAATGTTCCCATTCCAAATACAAAAACCGATCTTGATATATCTTTCCACATAATTAAATCCACTGAGAAAAATAACAAGAAATTAAAAATGGGAATGCTATAATTGAAACAATTTGCAGTAGAAATTGCAATTCAACATGTCAGGAATATGAAAACTCACCTAAACTTTGCAATCTGCTATGTGTTTCTTGGAAGCTGGTGTGGTTATGGTACTCATTTGAAGCTGCAACTAATTGATTGGTAAAAACAGAAACAGTCAAGACTTAACACAAAGGAACAATCCCAAGAAACTCAAATTCCAAAAAAAAAAAACAATGCTACATTAGAATTTGAAAGAAAAGAAGAACTTACACGAAGTTTGTTTGGGGATGTTTGAATGAACTGTTGCACGTTTTATAACAGGAGGTGGTTTTTTCAAGTTTAAGGAGACGGGTTCTGGCTTCTGATTTTGATGAACTTGATAAAGCTTTTTCACTTCTTTGCGGTCAAGGTGAAGAAGCTTCTTGACCTCATTAACTTTCACTACCTTCTCTTCATTCACAACCTTGGTGGTCAATTTCTCTTCTGTTGCATTGACTTCCTTAATATCAACGCTTTTCTTTTCAACCTCAACCTCAATTTCCTCATCCACCTCTACCTCCAATTCATCTCCATCATCTTCTTCATCACCCTCTTGATCGTCACCATCATGCACCGATGCTTTTGGATCAGATTTGAGCACATCCACATTGCTCTCGCCGCTTGAAATGACCATTTCTTGGCACACACCGAACTCCTTGCAATTCTCATCAGATCCACTGTTTTCAATCTCAACTGGGCTTTTCTCAATTACCTCAACAGGCGTATCAATTTCCTTATCAGATTCATCCAAGGCCTCCTTATTGGACTCAGATTTCGCTTTTCCCAATTGAATTGCATTACCAGAAGCATCAAGTCCCTTATTAGACTCTGATTTTACCTTCCTTAACTGAGCTGAATTTTTCTCAATTCCCGCACTAGCTTCACCCAAATCACTAGCACTTTTCAATAATTCATTCCTTGGTTTCCTACTCCCAACTGGGCTTCTCTCATTTTTATCAGAAGCAGCAGCACCAATCTCCTTGCTTACCTCAGATCTAAGCCTTCTCAGCTGAGTTGGGCTCTTCTTGATCCCATCAAAAGACACACTCAGTTCCTTGCACTGTTGGCCAGAATTCTTCAAAGACTCTGTTTTTGCTTTGGATATCTGAATTGGGTTCTTCTCAGAACCTTCAGAGTTGTCAGATTTCCAAGTCTTTCTCTTGCCAGCAGCAGTTAGTGCACCACCAGCTTGACCTCTCTTCGACCTTGTACGAGTTCCAGCAACCCCATTGCTAGTATTACTCTGATCTTCAGAATTCTCCTGATCGCCATTGAAGACCTTAATCCCACCTTTGACTTCATCAATCTTCATTCTGCTCTCCCACACAGACCCTGCAACCACACCACTCCTTACTCCGTCTCTCCTGCTACCCACATCCATTGCCCTTTATATATATCTTGGTAATCTCTCTTTAGCAATGAATAGTAGAATAGGACATATAGATGGCACCGGTCATGACTGGATAAAAAGAAAGCTTTAAGCAGAAGAAATGGCAGTTGGTGGGGCGTGAAACATTGGGATCTCTCTCTCTCTCTCTGCCTTTGAAAAGGAAAGCAAGCGAGAGAGCATGAAAGATACCGGTCTTCTACTAGCTAGATTGTGTTGTTAATAGTCGTATCTTGTAAGGCACTGGGTCACCGACCCACTGGGTTTCTTCTTTTTTTTCTTTCTGTGTGTGTGTGTGTGTTTTTTTTTTCATAAATTTTTTTGTGGATTGATGATGTGCGAGTGTGAGTTATAAAGTAAAGTGAACAAAAGTGAGAGATAAATAATGGTTTAGGGGTTGAATGATTAACGATGATCTCTTTTGCTCCTTTTTTGGGGTATTGATTCCTTTTCTTAAGCCTGCTTATAGCTTTTGTATCGGAGGATCTCTATGAACACTGTGACCGAGGCAACCAAAAGTCATCCCTCACATGCAAATGGAGAACCTTGCTTCCTAATTTTAGAGAGGGATGAGAGAGGTGGACTTTGGAAGTATATGGTGATTTGTGGTGTTGGCAATAGTTTCATTTGCAAATGTAGTGTGCCCTCTACATTGTTGCATCCGAGTTTGAATTCCTCCCCACACATTACAGCCGTTTAAACTATAAGACGTGGCAATAGTTTCATTTCCTGTAACCAAAACCCATTTAATCTAGTATGGCCAAGCTCCTCCTCCTCCTCCTTCTCCTCCACACATGCAATCTAATGCAGACAAAGGGACATAAACTTTTCTCTTACTTTTGTATTGGAGATGTTAACTTGATGCTCTATTGATTTGTGCCTGCCTAGTAAATTATGGCACAGTTTGTTTCCTTTCCTTTTATTGCTTTTTGCTCTAATTTGGATATAAAAAAAAGGCCAAAAGGGATGCCAACAGCAACAGCTAACGTGAGGAAGCTTCATTTCGTACATTTTCTCCTGACATCACTTTATATATATACAATGGCGTAGGGTCAATATTATTAGACTAAGAAAGACTTGGTGAACATTAACATAATATATATTTTTTATATGTTATAATTTAATGTCATCTTCTAAAATCACAACTTCATCGCATAATGAATTATGAAGAAATAATTTGACATGGATCAAATCATAATGCATTGCTCAAAAGAAAACTGAATAGCTACTATTGAGAAATTTACTCGATTAGGGAACTCAAATTGTGCCATAATTTACTAGGTGCTAAAATTTACATGGTAGTTCAAGAAAGTGCTAAAATTTCAATAATTTAATTAAGTGGTTATATTATATCGAATTGAAGTGATTTTTTATAGGAGTAATCTTTGAATAAATATCTACTCTCCCTCTCATAATTTCATTGCATTTCAAATTCACAGAGCTGTGCATTATGATGCATAAGCTAATCGGCGGTGATCCATTTAATGCAGGCAGTGGCAGCTAGCTAAACAACCTAATTATTTGACCCACCCATCCACCCACCCCATGTAATTAGAAAAGAAAAAAGGCAATTTTACTGCTGTGATTATTATTGCTTTCCCTTTTGCCTTAAACATGATTTTTTAGCGAGTGACGTGATGAAATATTGATGGGATGGAAACTTTTTTGCCAAAGTTAAAAAAAGAAAAAAAAAACTCACACATATGGATATTATGAAGGTTTGAATCCATGATCATTACGTCAATCCAGAGGAAAAATTAAAATTCTGCACTGCATGCATTTATGTATTTAGCATTTAGTAGGAAATCCACTATGGCAAAGGGGTGGATAAGGACAACCACCGGGATGCAAATACACAAAAAATAAAATAAAAGGTATATTTGTGAAAAGACAAGGCCACGGGAGTGATGTTTGACTAACTGATTGATGCTGATATGGAATCCAACACCAACAACATTGTTTACGTTACACAATTATGAATTAATACATTTATTTGTTTGTGTATAAAAACTATCAAGTATTAAAATTATATTAAGGACTTCAATCATAGTCCTTAACTTTGTATTAAAATGTAATGTCGATGTTGAAAATTCTTCACTTTAATCATTCATTTTATGAATTCGGGTGGGGAAGACAAGATTATCCATATATATAAAGTAAAATGCAAAGAAAGATGAAATATTCAAAATATCAAAAAATTCCTTTGGTTAATGCAAATATTAAGAATTGAAATTATTAATTAAATGACAATAATATGATAAATTCATAACTTTTTATATTTTTAAAAAATTAAAATTAAAAGAAAATTCAGATAATGGATCCTATTTTTATGAAACACAACTATCCATTATTTTTTTTAATTCTAAAATAAATTTAAATTTTTTTTAAAATCCTCTCACAGGCACAGAAACGCATACGTAAAGACTAGTCAGAAATAATACATAACATATAAAAGTATTTATCATTTGATTTTGATTTGATTCATTTATAAATAAATAAATTAGCATGGGGCCACCAGATTTTGGAATCGGCATACGTGGCCAAATAATACGTAATTCTGCAGCACTCACATCAGATCCCGACATGTAGATTGTAATATGTTTTTTTTTTTCGGGTCAATAGTAAAATTGTAATATGTTTTTCAGCCCAACTCTCACCGGCTACCGCTGGCTCCAAAACCCACCGACACACACCCAATTATTTTTTTTTAAAATATATTTATTCTGTTTTTAATAAAGGAAAAAATAATGATAACCTGGCAGGAAATGAAGGACCAATGTTTTATTTTGGTTTTGTGCACACCGTAACTTGTGAAAAACCCTAATATTTATATAGTTTGAGGAGGGGGCTGGACGTTGTTCGTCTATGGGGATTTGCTTTGGTATTTGGTAGCAAATCACCAACAACCGAAAAAGGCTTGTTAATTTCCATAATGCTATGGTATCATATGGTATTGGGATTGAAAGAGAAGGGAATCAAATCATATACATATACAGCTGACCTGTACATAAAAAAATATATTTTATATATTTAAGACATTGATGAGATGAGAGAATCGTAGAGTCATATGGATTAGAAAAACTTTCTTGTAACGGGAATAGTATAATTATATGTGAATTGGGATTGAAAGAGAAGGGAATCAAATCATATACATATACAGCTGACCTGTACATAAAAAAATATAATTTATATATTTAAGACATTGATGAGATGAGAGAATCGTAGAGTCATATGGATTAGAAAAACTTTCTTGTAACGGAAATAGTATAATTATATGTGGAAAAGTTATCATGTATGTCATTGCACTATTATTAATTAGAGATAACAAAAACTGCTATCATCATTGCATGAAAGTCTCTCTCCGTATGGAAGGCTGGAACGTTGCGGGCACGTGATTTACCAGCACTGTTTGTTGGTGTTGGGGACTTAGTAATCCCACGCACCAGTGCACCACCTAAAACGCACGTGACAACGACCCCGATCCAATGACATAAACTAATACTATTTATAGTTTTGACCCGACCAAACGTTTTAATATTTTGGTTTTGGTAGAGTGGGTGGCAACGCCCAAATATAAAAAACTAACTCACAACAAACCCAGCCCACAAGTCAATCAAAGTCACATTCTGTTTTTGTTGATGAGCAATAACATATCTACCTTAAACTACCATACCAAAGTGTTGTAAATATTAATTAGGCATATCCTCCACGTTTGCTATTGCTATAAACCAAACCTTAAACTAGTTTCCAAACTTGAAACTTGAAACTTGAAACTTGAAACTTGAATATGAAATTGGGGATTGAAATCCAAACTATAAGTATTAGTTTTAGATGCAATAACAGAACACCTCCCAAGTTCCCAACTCCAACAACACAAGTCTGTCTCTAAGTGTTGGTTAGTTTAATTTAATACATTACGATTCATTCACATAGGTGGAGTGGAGTGGATGAACCAGCATAGATATCAGAATTCTTAAAACAATGTTAATGGAAAGCTTCAACTTGGTCCTTCAAGTGTTGGAGTAGACCCTTCACGCTCATTACTGTCACCTCATCCTTATCTCTAACCCTTACGCTCACCTGAATCAATCAAAATCAACACAATAACGTAACTTCACAGGAGGATCAATTCAAACATTAACTTCCCTGAATGAAGACAGAAGAACAAAGGAAATCAAATGATAAAAAAGTTACTAACTACCTACCTGTCCATTTTTAACTTCCTCTCCACCCACAACTAAAATGTAGTTGTACTGTGCCATCTGAGCTTCTCGTACCTGCAACAACAACACCATCGACAAGAACAATATCTATCAGTAAACAAACAACACACAAGGCTGCCTGCCTGCCTGCCTGGCTTAAACAATCAAAATCACTTCCTTCAGTTATTAACTTATGAATGCTCACCTTTTTCTGAATTGTCTTATCACTTGTGTCAACATCCACATAATAACCAGCTTCACAGATGTGATCCTTTACCTACAAAAATGCACAACCTCACATAATTAAGAAACTTTCATGGCTCATTGCCTTAAGACGATAGACAAGCTATACTCGACCAAAACAGCCAAGATAAACCAACCTCTTCAGCATAACGCATAGAGATTTGCGAGACAGGGCAAACAATTGCCTGACGTGGACTGAGCCACAAGGGCCATTTCCCCTTGTAGTGTTCCAACAGTACAGCAACCATACGCTCAACAGAACCTAAAATAGCTCTGTGTATCATAACAGGCCTCTCCATCTTGCCTTCCTCCGATGAGAAACACAGCTCAAAGCGCTCGGGAAGTTGATAATCAAGCTGCAATCAACCACCAGCATTTTTTCAAATGGCAAACATAACAGCAACAAAATCAAACATCAACAGAAAGAAAAAAATAAAAGTGATCAACAACATACCTGTAATGTTGCCAACTGATGATCTTTATTCAATGCATCAGATACAGTGATATCTATCTTCGGTCCATAATATGCACCATCACCTTCATTCACCTGCACAACATGACTAACCATGTAAGCACATCCAGACACAAACAAGAAATTGCTTAAATAATATTAATAAATAAGTTAGACGCCCATGGGGTTAGCCCAAGTAAACATACCGCCCAGGGCTCGCCGAACTCAATTAAAGCTTGTTTAAGAGCAGCCTCAGCCTTCTCCCATGTTGCCAAGTCTCCTATGTGGCTTTCTGGCATCTACAACATAAACGCGCAACGCATGATAAATATGAATTCCCACCCATCCTTCATTGACGAAAAGTAAAAAGAGAAACTAGATAGATGCCCAATGCTTCAATCATATAGGGATCAAGAACCTTACTGTTGAAAGATTCAGCTTAAATGTGAAGCCAAATATATTATAGGTATACTTGATAAACTCTAAGCCACTCCTCACTTCATCTTTTATCTGAAAACAAAACACAGAGAGATATAAGTGTTACAAACAAAACCAAACCGCAAAAACAAAAAGTTTGGAGTATGTGAGTAAAGTTTGACTCACTTGGGACTCCCTGCAGAAGATATGAGCATCATCCTGTAGCATATTTTGGAATAAAATAGTCAGAAGAAGAGACACTTTACCAGCAAATGATAAATGGCTACGAACACAAAAGTATCAAGGAGCATGGACCAAGTACACAAGAATATAAGCTCTTAGTGACCTGAAAGAACTTACAATTATATATGCTGAGAACTGGTGCTAATACTCTAACTATGACCATCTAACAAAGTAAATAGCCAGAAGATAAAAAAAACCTCGAAGTATACCTGCTGGAATCTCCTGACACGTGTTAATCCAGTGAGTGCGCCACTGGCCTCATTCCGATGTAACATCCCAAAATCAGCCATTCGTAGAGGTAGTTCTTTGCATAAACATCACACACACATAAGTAACAATTTCAAGTCCTTAACAGCAAAGAATGGAAAGCTAGAAATATCGATGCACAGAATTCCATTAACTATTCCTAAACAAACTAGTGACAATAGATAATGCTGTCAAGCAATTCAAGTGAAGAAAAGAAAAATACCTCTGTAAGAACGGTTCTTATGCTGAAATATTAAACAGTGCCCTGGGCAATTCATTGGCTTCAATCCAAACTCCTGCTTCTCAATCTGCAACGGAAACTTGACATTGTCATATAAGAGGATACAAACTCAAGTAAGTTAAACTTAGTCCTGTTCATTTACATAGCATAAATCTTAGATGATGATATCAATCAATCATCTGCATTGAATTTCACATTGTTTTACTGTTCAAGCAACAGAGCCCTCTTCTTCATGACATTAGCCCCACAAAGATCCCAAGAAAGTAGTTGGACTAATATAGGCGGCACCAGTTCAAATATGTGTATCGACTTATTTTTATGTTTGTCCATCAATCTGCCTTCCCTCATTACATAATCCCTGGCAGTAAGATTACTTTTAAGCATAAAGTTGCTTCAACATAAAAAACGCAATGGTATCAAGTTATATAAAAACTCACCTCCAACAAAAACATGTTCTCTTTGTATTTGTCAGCATGACCAGATGTTTCCCAGAGTTTCATATTGTACAAGTTTGGTGTTACAACCTATCAAAGGAAAGAAAGTGATGTGCATATTATTTGACATTAATAAGGTGATGTAAAAACTAAAACATTCCCCCCTATCTCATAAAATAAATTTTTTTTTAAAAAAAAAAAAAAAAACTATAACATTGAAGCCTGCTAACCTCTTCGTATCCTCTCTTTTCATACTGATTGTTTATGAACTTCATTAATTTCTTGTAAATCCGAGCCCTGTGAGGAAGGAAGAAGCAACTTCCCGGGCTGAAATTCACAAGTAGATATAATCAAATGGAAATCATTGACACTCTTGATCACTTAAAACAATGAAGAAATATGAACTCAATACATACCTAAGTGGGTGAAAAAAGAAAAGTTCTTGATTTTTACCCAGCACCCTGTGGTCATATTTTTTTGCTTCTTCTAGCTTCTGGTAATGTGCCTGCAGAAAAAAGGTAGATGTTGGTAAGAAAATGAAATATTCAAGAACTATCACAATCTGGCCATTACAAATAAAATAGAATTGCACTGTGAATTAGAAGAAAGCAGATAAGAAAAACCAAAACCGAAGTTATGGAAGGTCAAAGACATAATGACACCTGCAAACGTTTTTTATCAGGGTAAGATATTCCATAAACTCTCTGTAAACTTTCACGATCTTTGTTACCCCTCCAGTAGGCTGCAGAAGCCTGGAATTGCAAATTCATGAATTAAATAAAATACAAGCAATACATTAAGAAACAGATATGAAAGAAAATCTTAGAAACTACAGCTATAACACACTGACAACACATGTCTTCAAGCATGTAAATGCTTTCACAAATGATGTATTTGGTATATGGGGTCCACGACACAAGTCAACCAAGGGGCCACATCTATACACAGTGATAGGTTTGTCTGTTGGAAGACCATTGATGATTTCAACCTGATTAAAAATAGCCCAAAACCAAAAAAAAAAACTGAAATCAATTTTGAACCCATGGAATGCATATATGAGAAGTAGTAAACAAATCATTTTAAGTATAAGAAACAAAACTAGGCACCTTCGCTTACCTTGAATTCATTATCATAAAACATCTCAAGTGCTTGTTCCTTCGATACTTCAATGCGTTCAAAGGGTTGTTTCCCCTGGAAAATAAATCAACTAAGAGTCAAGGATCCACAACAACAAATAGAAAAAATTTCAAAGAAGTTATCATTTTGCAAGCTGTAGAGGAGCAACATTTTCCTCCATATACAACAAATTTACATGAATTTTATTAAAAGAGAATAAACACTACCTCAACAGCCTTCTCTGCCCATGATTCGATTTGCTTAAAGTGCTCATCATTCAAGCCCAAATCTCCATAAAATGCATCATAATAGAAACCCTGGGATTGAATTCAATCATTTCAGCAGGGAGCCAAATGAGAAACCACGACATATTTTTTAAAAGACCAGCAAAAAACAATTATTTCTCAAAACCGGGACCACAAACTTGGAACTATCCTAGTAGTTGAATTGCACACGAAGTAAACCACATATGCAAACACATTTCATGCAAAGTCAACCAAAGAAAGAGACAAAATATACACATAAAATATAAAATAACAAACGAAAACAGAGATTTGTTAAAACATATAAACTAACAACTAGTACGATAATTCAAAAACCTCTTTGCTAGATGAACACATATCCACTTTGGTGTCGATTCTGGCGCACGGACCGATGCAGAGCTTGCATCCATACTCCACCTCAAGTGCCTGCATCGTATGAAAAGTTGTTATGTATCCAATCCAATCCAATCCAAATCAATACAGTAAATCAAACCAAATCAAAATCTCGATGAGAACTTTTGGTACTTACCTGCCCAAGAATGTGGGCGCTGGAGTGCCAGAAGGTATGCCGAACATCCACATTGTCATCGAATGAGTCCAATGTGAAAAGCTTAAGCTCAGCATCGCCCTCCAAAGGTCTGTTGATGTCCCATAGAACCCCATTGACCTCAGAAATCAAAGCTTTGGAAGCCAAACTCTTTGAAATCTCACTTGCAATGTCAAAAGGGGAAGTTATCCACTTTTTGCCCTCCTTCACCTTCCCGTCGGGCAATGTAATCCTGAAAAACACCAATAGAATCCATTGGTAATAATTTCCCTCCAACTCGTATAGGCCCTAATGAATTATCAGATCATGAAAAACAGAGATTGGTGCAGTGGTTATACTTGTATTCATGAGGAGTCAAGGGACTAATCACAAAAGGAGAAAAACAATAATATAATTGTATTCAACGGATCTCGTGAAACACGCGAAAATCTTAGTATTATAGGAACAGTAGGTATAAGAAATATAAAATAATAAATAAAAAAAGACCAGCGCAGACAGTAACAAAAGTAACGCCAATTATTGGGTAGAAAAGAAAGAAGACGTAAGGAAACAAGATGTTCTTTTATTAACACAACTAGCCTCCGCACGTGCGGAAGCACCTGCGAGAGGCTTTCTTTTTTTAAATTTAAATTTTTTTTAAAATTTAAAAAGATAATGGGTAGTTGTTTTCCATAAAAATAGGATCCATTATCCGAATTTTTTTTTAATTTTAATTTTTTTAAATATGAAAAAGTGTGAATTTATCATATTATCCTCGTTTAATTAATAATTTCAATTCTTAATGTTTGCATTAATCAAGGACATTTTCTGGTATTTTGAATGTTTCACCATTTTCTGCCTTTTGCTTTATATATATAGATGTACGTCAACAAGTGTCACGCAACAGATTTTTCACATGTAATAACCTAGATGACCATAGCCCCCGGTCTACATGTTGGTCTGTTCAGTAGAACATTTGAAGTTATAACTTATAAGTATATATATGATCCATATATATATTTGACGAGCAAGAATGACTTAATTTGAAGTGGGAAAAGCTATCAGACTTACATCAAGGGTTACAGGTGAGTGCCTTCGTCATCACATTCCATTGAATAAATGTAAGACTCAAAGAAAGACATAGAGAAGAGAAGCATATATAATTCAAATAGAGGTTTAGAGGTTTTAGGGTTTACTTCGTAGTATCTGCCAAAGATAGTGTAATTGTTGAAGTAGGGAATGTGAAATAAGATAGGTTTGCAGAGAATACAATTCAGAATTTTCTCATTGCACATATTGGACATATATCTACAAGTATAGGCATAGCTAGATAGCCATCCGTTGGTTACAACCCCAATTCATTTACAATAAATTACAATCTCCAAAGCATGAATTATGTCTCCATGTTTCTAGCTTGTTGTGTTCCCCTTGTGTTCCCCTAAAACATGGAAATGAGTTTCTAGGTGGTAGACAAGCTTTTCCATGTTTCCAGCTTTGTCTATTGTCAACACTCCCCCTCAAGTTGGTGCTAAGATATCACGCATGCCCAACTTGTCAAGTGAGTCATAAAAGACTTTGCTTGATACGGCCTTCGTCAGAATATCAGCAAGTTGGTTTTCCGAGTTTACAAACGGAAACTTAATTATACCCCTTTCTAGTTTCTCTTTGATGAAGTGTCGGTCGACTTCCACATGTTTGGTACGGTCATGTTGTACTGGGTTATGTGCTATCTCGATGGCAGCTTTGTTGTCACAGTACAAGTTTGTAGCCTTTAATGATTTAACTCCAAGGTCCTTCAGTAATTTCCGCAACCAGAGCAATTCACACACTCCTTGAGCCATTCCCCTAAATTCTGCTTCAGCACTTGATCTAGCTACAACTCTTTGCTTCTTTCTCCTCCAAGTGACTAAGTTGCCCCCCACAAATGTAAAATATCCAGAAGTAGAACGTCTATCTGTGATGGATCCTGCCCAATCCGCATCTGTGTATCCTTCTAGGTCCATAGGTGTATGTTTGGAGAATATCAACCCTTTGGCAGGGGCAGCCTTCAAGTACCTCATGATCCGAGTTACTGCATTCATGTGTGCCTCACTTGGTTGATGCATAAACTGACTCACCATACTCACAGCATAAGCTATGTCGGGGCGTGTGTGTGATAGATAAATGAGTCGCCCAACCAATCTTTGATACCTTTCTTTGTCAGTGGGTACTTGATCTGGATACATCCCTAACTTGTGGTTCTGCTCAATAGGTGTGTCAGCTGGCTTACAATCAAGCATTCCAGTTTCTGTTAACAAGTCTAACACATATTTTCATTGTGATAGAAATATGTCATGTTTTGATCTAGCAACTTCTATGCCAAGAAAATATTGTAACTCACCTAATTCCTTCATCTCAAATTTACTAGCAAGGAGCTTCTGCAGATTCTTCATTTCTCCATAGTCATTACCGGTAACCACCATATCATCAACATAGATGATAAGGGCCGTAAGTTTATCACCACGACGCTTTAAGAATAAAGTGTGATCCGAGTTGCTCTGAGTGTACCCAAAGCGCTTCATGGAATCGGTGAATTTTCCAAACCAGGCTCGTGGTGACTGCTTTAGCCATATAATGATTTTCTCAGCTTGCAAACGGTGTTGGGACCGAATGTCATAGAGGTTCCTGGTGGTGGTTCCATATACACTTCTTCTTGCAAGTCTCCGTGAAGAAATGCATTCTTTACATCATACTGCAGAAGTGGCCAATCAAGATTTGCAGCTAATGACATGAGAACACGAATGGTGTTGATCTTGGCAACAGGTGCAAATGTCTCCTGGTAGTCAATCCCATATGTTTGTGTATACCCCTTGGCCACTAATCGGGCTTTGTATCGGTCTATGGATCCATCAGCTTTGTATTTAATGGTGTATATCCACCGACATCCAACTGGTTTCTTCCCTTGTGGTAACTGAACCATTTCCCATGTAGAAATTTTTTTCTAGAGCTTCCATTTCCATTGCCATTGCTTCAGCCCATCTAGAATCTGTTATAGCATCCTGCCACTTATTTGGAACACATACAGTAGATAATTGATTGACAAATGATGCATATGACTTTGACAATCTATGAGTTAAAACATGGTTATTAATGGGATATTTAGATTTGGCAGTAAGGTCAGGACAATATTGAAGTTTGGGTTTTCCTCTAGTGGTCCTAGGTGGGAGAGTGTATGGTATAGCATTAGGTGGTTCGGGAATTACCTCGAGTGTTTCTTCCTCATGAGACGATTGGTCCGATGGTTGAGAATGAGGGGTTGTATTTTGTAGTTGATCACAGCAAACATTTGGATTGTCTCCTCCGGGATTGTCACCAAATAAGAACGACAACTTTTCAGTGTCTTCATCGCTGTCCAAATAGCTATCTTCAAGTTCACAGGGGATCGGCGACCGGTCTCATGGTTCTGAGCGACCGGTCGCTTTCGGGCAGATTGGCATTTCATCACTGGAGTCACGCGACCGGTCGCTGAGGTCCATGCGACCGGTCGTTTTTGAATCTGTGGAAAAGCGACCGGTCGTTTCTGGGATGCAACCGGTCGTATTTGGACAGATTCGATCTTCAGAATTGCTGGAGCCACGCGACCGGTCGCTGAGGTCCGTGCGACCGGTCGTTTTTGAATCTGTGCAAAAGCGACCGGTCGTTTCTGGGCTGCGACCGGTCGTATTTTGACTGTCTTGAATTTCTTGAGCTTCTTCTTGAACCTTTTCTTGAATTTTTTCTTCCTTCTCTTCATTCCTCCTCTCACCCTGAAGAGAAGGGGGTGTAGAAGCTTCAAAGTATGATAAATCTTCATGGAATGTGGCATCCATGGTGACAAAGAGCTTATGAGTAGGAGGATGGTAACATTTGTATCCTTTTTGAGTTGATCCATACCCAACGAACACACAACGAATGGCACAAGGGTCCAGTTTACTTCTTTGATGAGATGGAACATGAGCATATACAACACAACCAAAAATGCGAGGAGGCAACTTGAGGACTGTAGGAAGAGAGACGTGACGAGCCAAGGTGTTCAGTGGAGTTTCAAACTTCAAAACACTACTAGGCACTCGATTAATGACATAGACTGCAGAAAGAAGGGCATGTCCCCATAAGTAGTGAGGGACCGATTTATCCAGCATGTATGCACGAGTAACCTCAAGTAATTGTCGATTCTTTCACTCTGCGACACCATTTTGTTGCGGAGTATAAGATGTGGAGGTTTGATGAATGATGCCGTGGTCTCGGAAGAATTGTGCCAAGACATTGTTCACATATTCCCCACCATTATCAGACC